AATCTAGTTCGAAAACCTCCCATGCCACACCTTCATATATCTCGGATTCGATGCGAACATCTCTGATACCGATATGAAGAGGACCTTTGAAATTGTATAGAGTATGCTTAGTCGTAACCACCTGCTGAGCTTTCGGCTTCGACTGTTGACGAAGGATTTTTATAGAATCCCCACAGATAAACCAGACTGGAAATGGAAGGGCAAGGGCCACTCCAAAATCAGCACTTGGTAGTTGAGGAAGTTTGAGAGAAAATTTATTGAAATCCACTATGCATCATTCCCTAGGAGAAACAAACGAAGAGAGTTGTAAATTCTCCATTTGCATAAAATGTTGACCATCAGTGGTTGAATCCTGGGGTGCAAAAGAAACACGGTTCAAAACCAGTGGGGGTGAGTTTAGCCTTATTGGAGTAGCGGGCAAGTTGCGTCAAAGTCATCTCTTTAGTGTACTTCACATGATGAAGCAGAAAGACACCTTTCTTTTCGAAGAGACATCTGGGAAGAGCTTGGACCAACTCAAACTATCGAGCCACTAAGTTTGGTTGGTAAGCAACCAAAGCCACTTGCGATTTCAAAAAATTCAGTCGAAGCGTTAGCAACCTTGGAATCAGGAAAGCTTTCTAGATCTGCAAAGATTCTGCCTCCTGAGCCTTGGTTGGGGCTGGAAAAGGTCTGGTAAACCACTCAGGACCATATTTCCTTGCAACGAATGAAGCCATGTTCGATGTGAACTCATGACGTTTGGCAAACATCATGGCATAACTTAAGATCATTGGTCTGAGGGATTGTCCTTCTTCGCTAGGAGTGAGTTAGACCAAGCGAGTCCCTTCGACTCTCCTATTCTTAATGTCTTCAGCAATCTCATTGATTGGATTTTTATTGGGGAAGCTAACTTTGAATGAGGCATTTAGCTAGAGTTGTAACAGCCAGAAGGGACCAGACAACAAAAGGTTCCCTTTTTCTCCTAAGTCCTTAAGTTGGGATACTCCTTCACTTAGAGACTCATAGAGATTCCCTAAGATCATTTCACTTAGGTAGATGTCATGACCTTTGTGAAGTTGAGTGGCTAGGGTTAAGCATCTCCTGGCTACTTGAAGGGACTTTGAGCAAAAGATGCAATGGGATAGCCATACAGTCAAAAAAGCTATGTGTTCTCGATCACAAACGCCATCAGTTGTTTTGTCGAAGTAGTGTGTTATGAAGTGAGAATATGTGGCTTAGGCAGATGCAAAACATATGGAATCATCAAATTCTAGGTCGGGGTCATAGGGGTTTCCAGTGGGTTTGAGCTTTGTGATAGCGGCTATATCGAGGAGTGTAGAAGTCATCATCCCACGAGGGAGATGGAAAGTATAGTGGGTGTTATCCCATAAATAAAGGAAGAAATCAACATGGTCTAACATTAATCAAGACTTGTTTTCGACAATATTATCAAGTCATAAATTCCCAGGTTTTTCCAAGTTTAGGATTTAACTTTCTCTATTTTTGCTAGCCAGTTCATGTAATTGTCAGATTCTTTGAAGGACGAGGTTGCTCTAAAAACTATAAAATTATTGTTCATATACCTTAAATCTATATTATTAAGTACTATCGCATCAGAAGAAGTTTTCTCGACCCTAGTTTTGTTTGTCTGACCTATGAGTTTTGATTTATGGTAAGAAGGGAAAAAGTCCCTAGATTTATTATGGTCAAAACTAAGAGAAGGTAAAGGACCACATAGTGCATGTCTTTTACCAGAAACAGTAATGGGAATGAGTACCTGAGATTCATATATCTTCCTCTTCTCTTCCTCAAATGGTTTAGGGATGAACTGCTGGTTGCCCATCATCATTGGCGCTGACAGTGTGTCAAAGGGAGGAAGCTGGGAAATCTTCTTCAGTTCTTTATATTTGTGGCTTTTCTTGGAATCTTTAACATTGGTGGTTGATGACGCCATTGTTAAGGTTTGAAGGAAATCTGGGTATTTTTGGAAGTTTGGAGAGTGTAGAGAGAATGAGAGCGTTTGAAGATTTTTGGGAGCATAAAAGGTAAAATGGTTAAGTTGGAGCAACTTATAAGCTCGTAGGAGTCCAAAGGACCTCAAATCACCATTAAAGAGTTGATAGTTAGTGGGACACATGTTCCATCAGGGCCGTTTGATGAAACGCGAGCAGTTAATGCCTAGTGCATGATTTCCTAGGATCTAGGAAACATGATGATGGCTAGAGATTGTGGTGTGCTTTGATGAGACGTTTTTCAGAAACTACTATGATGATCATGACGTCATGGGTTTTTAGAATAGTAAGAGACATCAAAAACATGCAAAAGTCATTCGAGACGTCGAATGACACTATAAAAAAGTGCCTTTTTTCTTCAGTGATGTCGAAAATGACATTTTTGGGGGAAATTTGTTGGCTCTTAATTTCGACGCCTGGATGGGATTATAAGTAGGAAATAGATTTTCCGAAGAAATTTAATGACTTCGACTGAAGCCATATTTTTGGAATATGAGTCGAAAGCGTCATTTTGCCAGGAGAATCTATGTTACGGACTTAGAGATATTTCTTAGCAGTTGGAAGATTCGATTTGACAGAAGTGTCACTTAAGGCATTTCGACAAGGAGGTTTGAATTCAAATAAAGGATGGAAAGTTCAGTCTCATATATTCCTCAAAGAAGCTACATGGAGCGCTTCTAGGATTCGAAGGCATGCAGAGCGACACTTGTCTCGATTTCGTTTGCTAGCTGTTAATGGCGTTTATTTTATTATTATTATTATAAATAGCAAGTCTGAATGTTAGGATTTGTGTGTGTTTGATTGTGTACAAATTCTTCAGTATACTCCAAGTACTCGTGTGTTGAGAGAAACGAGTTTGTAAGAATGTACATTGATGTAACACCATCTTTTCATTTCAATGCAGTTTAATAAATCTTTTTCCTTAAGAATTTATTCTTTCTTTATGCTAGTTCTTGTCTTCATCATTTACCAGTACTTCAATTTTACTTCTTTTCACCCAAATCTGTTTACACTTGAAATAAGTTATTTTATTATGAACTTTGTCGAAGTGTTCATCGTTTTTATAAATTTTATTTAAGATCAATTAGCACATGTCCTATGATTTGTGTGGTCGATCCTACAAGTAAAACATATCTTTTTTGATTTGTAAGACCAGCGATTATTCACCAATTTTTACGACGAGCAGTTAGCTGCCATGAATTTGTTGGGCGAGTTAAATATTCTCCAATCAATTTTCTTATATTTTTTACCCTTTTATTATGCCTTTAATTCGTTGCTTGAACTACCATTCGCCAAACAAATTTCTCTTTGGTTTGAGCCATGCTTTTGCCTCAACTTTCACAATGCTCAATTTCGACTGCCAAATTTGATTTGGCCTAACATCTAAGTCTTTGAATCAAATACTTTTTTTTGACTCGACATTTGATCTTTTTTCTACGTTTTTCCATCTTTCAATATAAAATAATAAAAATGATATAAAATAGAATTAATACATATATATTAGTTATATAGGACAATTCTTAATTAAATATTTTGATATTAAAAGAATACCGATAATAGATTAAACTATTTTTTTTATAAATATAATTGAAGTATTTTTTATTAAAAAAATAACATATAATTTATTATTATATAAAAAATGAAAAAATTAAATAACTCATTACCCTACTCAATTCAATTCATAAATTTTGAATTTTACTCAAATGAGTTAAATAATATTGTGGATGATTATTTTATCTTTTCAAATCAAGATACACTATATAATTTTAGATTATGGTTTTAGACAAACCAATCAAAGCAGATTCATATCCACACACCCCCATTGTCACAACACTATTACATCAAGATTAACACATCCTCATGATGTATACTCTCTTTTACAAAATACAAATGTAGTACGTAACACACACTCTTGTAGTATTGACTTTTCGATTTCAAGTATTGGTCATCGCTGTCCTTTTTTTTATTATATTATGGTTCGTTCTCTTTATGTTGTTTGTTTTCTTCCACTGAAATTAAGTTGTTGTTTCTAATTAAACTTTTATAGTCTAAAAGCAGAATAATTTCCTTCTCATTTTTTCATGGTCATTTCTTATCTTAATATCTTACGTCAAAGGGAATTTTCCACATTATGTATCTTTTGCCCCATCTAATAATTTTTTCCTTTTTTTATACATGTTATTTTCTAATAAAAATATAAATTAATATCTCACTCATGAATAAAGAAAAAATATTGAATGTCAATAATTTTTTATATAACACTTATACTCTTTTAATCAAATAACACTTTTAACAAAGTCTATTTTTTGTTTTGTTAAAGTAACTCTTCTTTTACTCATATTTTTGTCACATGAAATCTATTCCATTATAGTTTTTCAGACATAAAAAGATCATCAAATACATATGAGGTCATAAAAAGAAACATATTTATCCAAATGAAAAAACAAATATACAAAAAGAATCACTTTCCTTATCCTTCAAATAGTTCTTGCCATCATCAATTAATCATGCAAGAAAGAATCTTATCAAGTTCCATACTCTTTTTTCTTTCTTTTTCACCCTCTTCCTCTTCTTCACTCTCTTTTTAACCTATTTTTGTTTAGTTTGCCAAACAAGTGAATAACATTGACCAACAAAACCTTCCTAACATTAACCCCATAAGATGGGACCCATCCCATGGATTAGTCCTTATCATAGTAGGTCCAATAACGATCACCGTAGATTTGTTTCCATGTAGTAATATCATATGAGACGGTATCATAAGGGCCCCATCATCTATATTACACTAGTTACTACCTCCCTCTCTCTCTCTCTTTCTCTCTCTCTATTCCTATATTAAAAATAAATAACCCTCTTACTCTTCTATCTCATTCTCACTTCTCTTGTGCTATATATATTCACACAAACCTTCACTCTCGCATTCTAAGTTAAACACTCATACAAATAACATAACATCTTCTTAGTCCCTTGTCTTTGTCACCAAGTTTCTTTTCTATTTCTTCATTCATGGCTGAACAAGATTCTAGAAACATTGATCTCACTCTCGGAGAACCCAAAGAGGAACCGGAAACCGAAGATGGGTCGGCGATAAAGGTGATGCCCAAGGCTATGCAGGTGCCGGCGGGGATATCTATGTCCATGCAAGTGAACAAGACGTTATTCCAAGCCCAAGCTCAGGCTCAATACCAGACCCAGGCCCAAGCCCAAGCCCAAACGCAACCGCCGGTTCAAAAAAGAGCATCCACTAAGGACCGTCACACCAAAGTAGAAGGTCGTGGCCGGAGGATTCGAATGCCTGCCACGTGTGCGGCTCGGATCTTTCAACTGACACGAGAACTTGGACATAAATCAGACGGTGAAACAATCCGGTGGCTCCTCGAGCACGCTGAACCTGCCATCATTGCCGCCACCGGAACCGGCACCGTCCCCGCTATAGCGATGTCCGTCAACGGAACTCTCAAAATCCCAACCACTTCCCCTAACAAAAACTCCGACCCGGAACAACAACAACAACAACAATCTGAAGACTCCCCCGAAAAAAAGAAACGTAAACGACCAGCGAACAGTGCTTACGTGGACATAAACGACAGCGCCGTTTCAGTTTCAGCAGGTTTAATAACAACCTCCAACGTAAACACCAACATGAACCCAAACCTTAATAACACCGCGATAATTCCGCAACAAACTGCAATTCCGTTACCGCAAAACATGGTCCCCGTGTGGGCCATACCATCAAACGCCGTCGTTCAAGGCGGAAACGCGTTTTTTGTGGTCCCAGCAAATCAGCCTCAGTTTTTCACATTAGCTAGACCAATCTCCGGTTTCGTTTCTTCCATGGTAACACCCGTGGTTCAACTCCAACAAGCCTCCGCGTTATCCAACCCATGCTCAACCTCTCCGTCGTCAAAGTCCCCGGCGAGAGCAACCGTCATGGCGCCGAGTACCGCTGCAACAACCACCACACCGCAGATGCTGAGGGATTTTTCATTGGAGATTTACGATAGACAAGAGCTTCAGTTATTGTCGCGTTCTTCTTCCAAGCATTGAGAAGACGAAAGAGAAAGAGAACAGAAAGATGAACTTGGTTAACGACGTCGTTTGAGGAGGAAGAAGAACACGTGCGCACGTGAGTGGGATAAAAAGAGTGGGGACCACGTGCGTTAACACGAAGAGTGGGGGAGGGTGGGACCCACTATGGTGGTGCTGACTCCGTGAACCGTGCAATGGGGTACTACTAGTACTGTTATTATTATTCCACTCTACATTTATTTTTTATATGTATAACAAAAAATTAATTAAAATTTAGAATTTAAATAACTGTATTAATATTGATTAATAATACATTATCTTTGCTATTTAGTGAAATATTTTAAATATTTTGTTTTGTGAAAATGGATATGGGTCCACCTCATATTGCAGTCATGTGAGGGTGGGTACGGGACCCAATAAGAAATGGGCGAATGGGGTGGACCTAAAACGGGACCGTTTAAAACAGTTCCCGAGGAATGGTTTTCAAGGTGGTCCCTACTTGGGACAAGTTAGTCCGCATGACACGTGTCGAGTTATGAAATGTGGACAGGTGGGGTACCACTTTACAGTTCGACACGTGGGTTTTTCTTTTGTGGGGTCATGTTGTTGGTTTAGAACCTTTCTATTGGCTTTGGTGTGTTTGGCCCGAAGAAAAGGTGAAGAGAGAAGAGAGAATAAACGGTATCGGATGCTTTCCATGCTGGTTACTTTTGTGGAGGTTTCTAGTTGGTGTAAGAAAATGAACACTTTTGTTGTTGGTGCAATTTATTCTTTAGTGGAGTGTTGTTGGTAGATTTGTATCCAGATGGTGTGGTTTATTTTTTTCTAAATCCAATTTGTTTAACTAATTCTATTAAAAATAGTAACTAAATATAGTAGAGCGATTCATGAAAAATCTCTACGAAATATAAAGTTATTTGATGTCTTTTGATAGAGTATATATGCTAAGTGTGGCTTAGCCAATCTGCTCCTATTAGACTTGTAACAAACTATACAAGAGTCTAATTAAGTGCACTGAGTTAACACAACTTAGTTATATTATATAAACTAACATTTTCAAATTATCAAATAACATAAATGAAAACTCTCTCTCTTCTTTTGTTTCTTTCTTTCTAATATTGTATTAAGAATTTGAAACAGATTCAAATAATCTTCAAGACAATTCTGAAAGAGATTCAACACAAACTACATTCACTATCAGTTTCATAAACATCTTTAAGACGTTCGCCTATCAAACCACATGTAAACACGATGAAAATAATTTTCGTTATTGGAAATAACAAATCAAAAATATCATATCGACACATAAACTTCATTGCTACTTAGTAAATCCAATTATTCCTCCACGATATCTCAGTAAAGAATATTGCTGAAGTGACGTTGAAAATCATGCGTATCTTATGTGAGAATAACAAGTGTTAAGAATAGAAGATAACTCAAGTCAGTGTAACAGATTGCAGTATATGTCAACAAGTTGCATTTCTTTGTAAAATGTCAAACAGAAGTAAAGTGCAATAAGTTGCACCTGGAGCATTTTTTATTAAAACTGAAACATAAGCAAAGTGCAATCAGTTACACATGAGAGTTTTAGTTTTATTGTTAGCTAATTGTACATCATCTCTTGTATTGTTGTATAAATACCCTTAAAGTATCTTGTGAGAAAATTAATGAAAAAATCACTATACTTTTCACCCTCTCTCTCTCTCTCTCTCTCTCTCTCTCTCTCTCTCTCTCTCTCTCTCTCTCTCTCTCTCTCTCTCTCCACACACACAATTACTCAATTATTTTACACCAACCTTGTGGTTCTAAGTTATAACATTTGACATCAAGAGTCTAGTTTGATTCATCAAACACCTTGTGTGCAATCATGAATTCAGTTTCCAATGAAATAATCCCTGCAAACTTACACATCATTGATGCGAAGAATTACGATAAATGGTGCAAGCAAATGAAGAACTTATTTGGCTACCTAGATGTTCTTGAAGTGATCAAGAACGATGTGAATCTTCTTGTCAAAGGTACAACAAATGCACAACGAGATGCGCATAAGAAAGAGAAGAAGAAATATTTTAAGGCGTTGTTTTTAATCCATCAATGCGTTGATACAGATAATTTCGAGAAAGTTGGTGTTTGTGAATCATTAAAGCTAGTGTGGTAAATCTTGGAGAAAGCATGTGTAGGGGTTGACAAGGCGAAGGTGGTGAAGTTACAAACTCACAAACGTCAGCTTGAACTGGTTCAGATGGAGGAGAAGGAGACCATCAACGATTTTACAACGAGAATTACTCGGTTGGTGAACTAAGTAAAAGCATGTGGAGAAATGGTCAAAGAGCAGTATGTTGTCGCAAAAATCTTACGTTCTTTGATAAAAATATTCAATAACATAGTCGTAGTGATTGAGGAATCAAAGGATCTTACGACAATGAGTAAAGAGGAGTTGTAAAACTCTCTTGAGGCACATGAACAGAGAATGGAAGAAAGGAATGTTGATAAGGTAAAGACGGAGATAGCTTTGCAAACCCGTTTCAATGAGAGAGAAAGGAAGGTGAAGGGAAAGTGTCCTATAAACAAAGGTAGAGGGAACTTTCAAAAATTTAGTGAAAGAGAGTCCCAAAATTCCAAAAAAAAAAAAAATCAACATTCCAAAAGGGTGAAAACAGTTATAGTAGGATTGATGCATCAAACAACACTAGAGAAGGCTATGCAAGAGGCAGTGATGGAAGAAGAATGGTTGATAAGAGCAGCGTGTAGTGCTTTAATTGCCAAAATCTTGGCCATTTTGCAAGAGATTGAAATTCAAAAAAGAAGGAACCTCAAGAAGATGAAGAAAGAGTTGCAAGACAAGTGTTAAATGAGGAGAACACACTTTTGGTCATGATCATAGAGGGAGAATGCAGTATAAACAGGTTGCAAGACAAGAACAACAACAATTTGAAAAATGATGCAGGAATGAAGTGCAATCGGTTGCATAATTATGTCAACTAATTTCATACTAAAGAAATTGCAATTCTGACTTTGAAAGAAGAAGCGTGGTGCAATGAACAATGGTATTTGGACTCCGGGTGTTTAATGCATATGACGAGAAGAAAAGATTGGTTTGTTACAATAAATCGTGTCATGAATAACAAAGTGAAGTTCGCAGATGATACCACTCTAGCGGCGGAAGGGATCAGTGATATAACGGCCGAGAGAAAGGATGGTAGATATTCTTTGATAAAGGATGTGTTGTACATTTTTAGAATCAAGTGTAACCTTCTAAGTATTGACCAATTTTTTGAGAAGGGTTACAAGATTCACATTGAGAATAAGGCGTTACGCGTTATTGATGCAAACAGGGTTTTGATCCTAAAAGATCCTATAACTGCCAATAGAACTTTCAAGGTTGAGTTGAAGGTTATGGATCATAGATGTCTTACTACAGCAGCTAGTCGAGAAGAGTGGATATAACACTATCGACTTGGGCATCTCAATGCCTTGCAAAAGAAAAAAATGGTAATGGGGCTGCCATTGATCAACATGCATGCTAAAATTTGTGAAGAGTGTGTGCAAGAGAAGCAGCATAAGCGAAAATTCAGCAAGGATGCAGGTTGTAGAACTAAGTGTCACCTTAAGGTGGTGCATTCAAATGTGTGTGGACTGATGCAAGTTGATTTGATTGGTGGCAATGGGTATTTTGTCACATTCATCGAAGACCATAGTAGAAAACTATGGACATACCTAATAAAGAGAAAGGATGAGGTATTTAATGTGTTTAAGAAGTTCAAGTCCATGGTTGAAAGGCAAAGCGTTCACAAGCTCAAAGTTCTCAAAATGGATGGTGGAGGCAAATACATCTCAAAAAAGGTATAATACATGTGGTAGTACCACCTTGTACACCCCAGAAAAATGGTGTTGGCAAAAGGAAGAATTGATCGATTATAAATATGGTGAGAAGCATGTTGAAATGGAAGAACTTGTCGAAAGAGTTATGGGGAGAAGCGGTGTCCATAACTACATATTTATTGAATAGGTGTCCAATAAAGAAGCTTGATAAGATAACACCGGAGGAAGAATGGTCTGGATTTAAACCAAATTTGAGTCACTTAAGAGTTTTCAGTTCGGTAGCATATCAACATGTGTCAGGATCACTTATAAAGAAGTTGGGTGATAAAGAAGAATTAATGAGTCTTGTAGGGTATCACTCCACCGGTGGTTAATAGTTATATGATGCAACAAACAGAAGGATTGTGATCAATCGAGACATTGTTTTTGACGAAATTAACGAGGTGCGGCAGAGTGTAATCGGTTGCACTAAAAGTTCAAACGGTTACACTAGTAAAAAATCAGTTTCTGCATTGTTGGAAATTGTAGAACTATCCCCCTTTGAAGCATGAATTGAAGAGAATGTAAGAAGATCAACAAGGAAAAAAGGTTTACCCCCAAGACTCTAAGATTGTAAGCTCTTTAGAGATAACAAAGTCAATGGCGATGGCGATTTTGTCCATTTTGCACTTATGGCCAAATCTTAACTCGTTAAAACGGAGGAGGCTTTGAGTGATCCAAAATGGATTTGTATTATGAAGGAGGAGTTGGAATTGATTGAGAAGAACAAGACTTAGGAATTAGTTGATCTACTAGAAGGGAAGAAGCCAATTGGTGTACAAAGTGAAGAAAAATTTTAAAGGTGACATAATCAACCATAAGGCTCGATTAGTTGCAAAGAGAATTTTGCAAAGAGAAGGCATATACTTTAAAGAGGTATTTACATTGGTGGATAGAATTGAAACCATTAGACTAATTATTGGTATTATGAATAACAACAATTGGTTCATCTACGAAATGGGTGTCAAATATGCGTTTTTGAACAGGCCGCTTGAAGAGCAGGTATATGTAGAACAGTCCCTGGTTTTGTTGTGAAAAACCAAGAGTTAAAGTTCTACAAGTTGAGGAGAGCATTGTATGGTTTGAAACAAACTCCAAGAGCTTGGAAAAAATTATATATGGTTTCTTAAAGAAGTTTGGCTTCAAGAAATGTGTAT